CACGCGCAATCATTACCCCGGCGGAGGAGAATGCACTGAAATCATTGAGGGCAGACACCAGCATCGTGATTCCCCCGGCAGACAAAGAACGTTCCACAGTGGTGTTAGATAACACCGACTACCTTCAAAAGGCCAACGCCCTGTTAAAGGACCGGCAGGCTTCCCTCCCGTGTGACGATGCACCGATGAGGAAGCTGATGACGCAGCTAGACAAGACGCTCACGGAAATGCAAACCAGCAAGGCAATCAGCAGCTCGACACGACTGACGATCAAACCCACAGACGCACACGCAGCCAGGTTTTATGGCCTATCAAAGGTACACAAAGCCGGCGTTCCCCTCCGCCCAATCATATCATTACGCGGTGCACCAACATTTAATCTGGCGAAATAGCTTTACCGTAATCTGAGGTCACTGATGGCGAACGCCCCAACGACGGTCTGCACAGCCACCCAATTCCTGGAACACCTCAAGGAAATGCGACTCACTGAAGATGAGATCATGGTGTCATTCGACGTCACCTCTCTCTTTACCTCGTTTCCACAAGACCTGGCAGTCGAGACGATTAGCGAGCTGCTCGAGAGCCAGCACGACGAGGCGGGCGAGTCGGTGAACCGGAGACATCTTGTCCAACTTTTGAAATTCTGCCTAAAGACGTACGTCACTTTCGAAGGGACAACGTACGAACAGGTCAAGAGGACGCCAATGGGCTCACCGCCATCGGGTTTGATCGCAGAGGCAGTTCTCAAAAAAACTAGAGACTCTCGTGTTCCGAAGCTATAGGCCAAAGTTCTGGACTCGATATGTTGACGATACCTTCGTCATCATTGAGCTGGAGATGGTCCAGGAATTCCACGATTTCCCTAATTCGATTTTGCCCGACATTCAGTTCACGATGGAGGCCAAAACAGACAGCCAACTAACGTTCCTATATGTTCTTGTCCACCGAGAACCCAACGGGTACCTATAAACGACGATGTATAGCAAGGCCACCAACACGCGCCAAATCCTGAGCTATCATAGTAAGCACCCGGCATGACACAAACACAGTTTTTAGTTCAGTATTTGTTCAGTATATTTAGAGTAGTAGGTAATGCCTTTGAAGACCATTGAAAGCAGTATACATAAAATATCCAATATAAAATATGTTACTTTAAAATAGTGGGTAACATATATACATGTGCAAATTTTATCTGCAGGTATGGTCAATGTGTCCGTGAGAGCATTCAGTCGTTTCTTGTATGCGTAACATATCCAACATAAAATATGTTACTATAAAATAGTGAGTAACATATACATATG